TGTGTGTGTGTGTGTGTGTGTGTGTGTGTGTGTGTGTGTGCGTGTGTGTGTTGCTGTGTCTTTCCTCTGTTTAATGCCCCGCCCTTTTGTCTTAGTGACTTCACTTGAACCCATTTCCACCTGATCGCTGCCTAAACAATTCGCTGTTGCCCATGCTTCTTCTTTTTTGGATGTTTTTTTTTTTTGTTCGTTTGTTTGTTTTCCGGGTTCATTTATTACAGGCCGGAAAACGGGTCCGACGTCCCTCACATTTGCACCACAGCAATCTGGCTGAGTATGGCACTCTCGGCCAGGCCCATCCCCTGCTGTGGTCCCACCAAAATCCCCACCACAAATCCCGAATCCAGCGAAGTTTTCTACTACTATCACTGCGACTATGATCTCTTGACACAAAGCTACAGTAGTACAACAGACAATCCAAGTAAGAATCTACAGAGGCACAACCGCCAACAGCTCAAACATCGCACACTAACTGACAACTAATCTCTCTCTCTCTCTCTCTCTCTCTCTCTCTCTCTCTCTCTCTCTCTCTCTCTCTCTTTTTTTTTTTTTTTTTTTTTTTTTTTTTAAGAGCAAAAAGAAGCAGACAACTAATCGATCTCAACAAAGTGCTCAACCCAAGTTTACTCTGCCTTCAGAAATCACCAAAAGAAAAAAACAATGAGAACAGCAGCCGCAGAGTGCGGTCGGCCTCCAAATGCAGTGTCACCAAGTCCAGAAAAGCTCCCCATTTGCTTACAAACCACTTCAGGGCTTTGGCCGTCCACCCCTTCTTGTGTACATGGTATTCCCAATCTTCCAAAACTGCTTGCTTTATAGCATAATAATAAATATAAGGGCACAGGTCGTCGTTGCCCGCGCTTTTTCTCTTGTACTACTCTGACCATTTGGTCTGATGGCGCACCTTTTCCATCCAAGTAGCCCAGAGTGTTACTTTTTCCTGGTCAAACCTCACCTACCTCAGGACCTGAAATGATGTGCAGGTCGGTCCTCAGCAGAAAAATGGCAAAAATATTGCAGGAGCAGCAGATTATCCCAAGTGGTCAAAGTAAGCCCTGGCCCAGTGGCCTTTCTTTTTTTTTCACTGTTTTTCTTTACCTAGCACATGGCCAGCCCCTTCAAGCAGACCCCCAACCTTGGGAACGCCCTTTGGCTGGCTTCTCAAAAGAAGGAATTAAACTCATTAAATAAAACTTAACTTTCTTAAAAAAACTCAAACGGGGAAAAAATGAAGGACAGATCTCACCACCAGATGCCCTCAATCTGTGTCAGTCGATCTCAGCTTGCAGTAGCGCCATGCAGGGGCTTTGCTATTTTTATCCATATATGTCCCAAAAGCACATGTGCAGTAGGGTTATACAGTTCTCTCCCCAGTATCATTCAAATTCTGGCAGGTGTCACAGAGAGCCTCTTGTTGTCCTTTCTTCCGTGTCATCCTCTTGTGCACGGGCCATGTTAATCAATCTTCTCTGTATCATTCCAATTTTAACGGAGGTCCATCCTAATCAATCTTCTCTGTATCATTCCAATTTTAACCGATGTCACGAAGGACAACGAGCCTCCTGTTTTGTTCTTCTTTTGTTTTGCTTTGTTTTGTTTACTTTTCTTATGTTTTGTTTCTTCTTTTTGAACAGGCCCTTATGGTCACTCCGGCTCCTTTTCCACCAGCAAGTCCTTCCATTGATGACAGATACACCACACTAAAACGGTATTCACCTGTTCGCAGTAGCGAATGCAGATCCCAGGGCTCGATCCCTAGACTTACCTTACCTGTGTACATTACCTGTGTCGACCCCAGGAGTTGAACCCACGACCTGTGTCTGTTCAGACAGTTGGTAGACTGTCGTAGGGTCTGTAGATGATAGGGTTTCGATCTGTAGACCTGTAGCATAGTGGTCTTAGGGAGTTCTAGAAGTCGTAGCTGTAGGGCCTCTGAAAGGTCAAGGTCGTAGCTGCTACAGTCCTGAAAGGTCAAGGTCGTAGCTGCTACAGTCCTGAAAGGTCAAGGTCGTAGCTGCTACAGTACCCGAAAGGCCAGAGTTGAAACTTCCGGAAGGTCCTGGTACTGGCCTTTCGAAGCTGCTCACGTTTAGGCTGAGGCAAGTGGGCAAGTGGTGGAGTCTACCCGTGCTGAGTCAGCGGTCCCAGTCCCAGTCAGTCCTAGTCCAGTCAAGCAAGTACCGTACGGGACTGTGTGCACCACGGGCATGGGAAAGGGCCAGACCAATGAGCTACAGAAGTATAAATCAAGAGGCAGCGCCCAGCCATTCATTCATTCCTGTGTAAGCCATTCAGAAGCGCTGCCACAGCGACTTGTGCGAGGTGGTCTGCAGTGAGCACGAAGACGAAGTGGGCGAGAAGGAGAGCTTAGCCATAGCGATAGGGGCAGCAGCGGTCATAGCCGCCATAGCGGATAGAAGAGTGTAGCGTGTGTGAGTCCGTGAGTGTACAGTGTGATGCGCGTGGGATATCCAGGGTGATCCTGTGTGTGAACAGCAGCGTTGAGTGAGTGACGAACAGAGATTTGTACAGGCACTGATGTGCCATAGCCATCTGAAGTGACATAGCCATCTGAAGTGAGACTGTATCTGAACTTTGTTTCTGGTTACCATTTCTCCGAGTTTTGAGTGGGCGCTTGTTGCTGCGTAACCTGTTTACATGTATGTGAAGTGTGAAAAGAAGCGAGTCTGATTGCAACACTACTCAAACGCGTCCTTCCATTATGGGCGAAGGAACCCCTGAAGCGCATTGGTTGCTGCTTTTGCAATCAGACTCACTTTCTGCTTCACTTCGCATACATGCAAACAGATGGCAATTCACACTGGCGCTGTGTGCCCACACAAAACTCCGAGATATGGAAACAGAGAACACAGTTCAGATGCAAACTCGCTTCAACAGGCTATGGTGCATGAGCGCCTGTGCATCCCACTCTCGACGATGTGTCCACAGCCACTGTTCACGCACACTCAACTCTGGATCACCCGGAATATCCCACGCACGCACTCTCTGTAGCACACCCACACTCTGACTCGCTAACAGCTAACTCTACCCTACGGCGGCTATGGCCGCTCACCACCACTGACTATGGCGCTCTATCTTCCTCACCGCCCACTTCGACCTCGGGCATCTGCAGAGCACCTCGCACAAGCCGCTCAGGCAGCGCTTCCGCATGGCTTCCGCAGGAATGAATGAATGGCTGGACGCTGCCTCTTGATATATACTTCTGTAAGTCGCTGGTCTTCCCTTTCCACCGGGCCCATGGTGCACACAGTCCCTCATGGTACTTGCTGACTGTACAAAGTGAGACTGGGACTGGGTACCGCTGACTAAGGGAAGTTGGACTCACCACTTGCCCACTTGCCTCTGGTCTGCTGTGTATAACGTGAGAAGAAACTTGAAAGGCCACTTCCGGACCTTCCGGAAGTTTGCGGACTTGGCCTTTCAGGACTGTAGCACCTACGACCTTGACCTTTCAGGACTGTAGAAGCTACGACCTTGACCTTTCAGAACTACAACAACTATGACCCCTATGCAGATATGCCCCCTACTTCGACAGGTCTAAGGTTCAACACCCGACAACTACTCAGACCTACGACAGACAACTTTCAACTACTAACACACAGGTCATGGGTTCAAGACACACAGGGTCGCCTCGATACGGTACACAGGGAAGGGAAGGGAAGGGAAGGTCTGGGGATCGAGCCCTGGGATCTGCATCTGTGACTGCAAAAGGTGAAAACCGTTTCACTCCCTCCGGCCTAAATTCGAGGTCCTCCGAGAATACTTCAGTCTAAGGCAGGACCTTTTGCTTTTTTATCGCTTTCGTATGCCCGGACTACTTCGGGGGCTGTCTCTAGAAGTTCTGTTCGTGTAAACCAGCAGTCGTCCTCTGGTTCCTGAAAAGCAAACCTGACCTTATACTGTTTCTGTGGACGACCCGTACCTCCTGTTCTAAGACATCTTCGCCTACGATGCCATCAATGTCGTACCTTTTGTCCATGTCCGGAGGGATCATGGACCTCCGTGATAGAAACTGTTGACTTGTGATACAAGGCAGCAACTTTGACGCATGAAACACCGGGTAGGTGTGGAGGTGCGCTGGAATCTCGACTGTGTAGGACGGTCCATCCTCTCCGCCCTTGACTTCTAAGACTGGCCACGGTCCCCGGTATGTAGGTAGTAACTTTTGCGAGATGTTATCCTCAAGAGAAAACTCTTTGGACTTGACGCAGACTAAGTCGCCTACTTGAAATTGTGATGGGCGACGGTGCTTATTGGCTTGCACTATCATCCTATGCTGGGCCGTCGTGAGGTTCTCTGTGACGGTAGCAATCTCCTTTTCATAGTGTAGTGCAAACTCCCTAGTACCGGGCGGTAGCCTTTGAATCTGATCCCAGCTCAGTCCCTCAAACGGTCTACGCGGTCTAAAGGACTTATGTAACTCGTTGGGAGTGTGACACGTCGCTAAGTGCACGCTGTTATTGTATGCGCTGGCTACCTTGGGAAGCATCTCGTCCCAGTTAAGCTGATCAGGTCTAATATACATTCTGAGAACTTGCTGCAGGATTTTGTTCATTTGTTCAGTCTGACCGTTAGTCTTAGGATGACGGCCAGATGACATTAACAACCTAGAGCCATAGGCTCTCATCAACTCCTGCCAGTTCTGACTAGTGAACCTGGTATCTCTGTCATTAACTATTGACAGCGGGAGGTCATGTTCACTGACCCAATGATCAAAGAACTAGTCTATAACTAAATTTGTTCGTGCTTCTATGGGTAAAGGAACAAAAACGGCATATTTACTAAATCTATCAACTACAACCATGACTTGACTCTTGCCATGCCTTATCTTGACCCCAGCGTCCATAAAGTCAATGGACACAGAATCTCTGGGTCCTGTGGGAATAGGCAAGGGTCTGAGAAGATCGAGAGGGGCCCGCGTAGTGGTCTTATTCCGTTGGAAGACTTTGCAACTGCGTACATACTCTATACAGTTGGCTTTCATACCTGGCCATATGCACATGCATATGAGGTTGGCTAATGTCTCTTTTGCCAACCAAAATGTCCCTCTGTGTCGTGACATTCCCCTAAGATCAAACTACGGATCTCTTCACTATCGGGAACGCACAAATGGTCAGCTACATTAGTTTTCTCAAATAGCAACCCGTCTGTAGTGCGGTAATCTGGCTCAAACTCTGGAGACTCCGTAACTCTCTTGAGGAGATCACTATAAATAGGGTCCTGCGCATAGGCTTCCTTAACTTTCTCTTGCAGGTCTCTCCCTATGTCCAGATAGTGAACTATCGCTCCAAAGTAATCAGCTCTTGTACTTAGAGCGTTCGCGACTACATTATACTTTCCTTTAACCGGCTCGAGCTCAAAGTCAAACTGATCTATCACTGCGGCCCCCCTAGTAAGCTTAGGTGTCATCTTGGCCTGCGTCTTCAGCCACCTCAATGTCTCGTGGTCTGAATACACTTTGAAGTGCCTCCCAAGCAAGTAATGCTTCCAATGATCTAGTGCTTGCCTGAGAGCGTAGAGTTCCCTCTCATAGGTAGATGTCGCTACCCTCTCTGAAGGCATTCTGGCATCCATGAACTCTACGGGTCTATAGCCATTGCCATCATCTTGCTGAAGCACAACACCTATACCATACTGACTTGCATCAATGGTGACGACAAAAGGCAAAGACAGATCGACTTCCTTGAGGACTGGATACTCTATCAAGACCCTTTTTAACTTTTTTAGGGCCGACATACAGTCTCTATCCCACTCCCAGATTGCTTCTTTCTTTAACAGCCTGCGAAGGGGTGCAGTGATAGTGGAGAAGTTCCTCACCAACTTCCTGTAATAGTTAGCTAGGCCTAAGAACGACCGCAATTCCGTCAATGTGCGGGGCGTTGGCCAATCTCTGATCGCTGCTATCTTACTGTCCTCAGACTTTATGCCATCTCCATCTAAGATGTGGCCCAAGTACAAGACTTGTGTCTTGGCCCACTCACACTTCTTCGCGTTGATCTTGAAGTTAGCTTCTCTCAACTTCTACAAGACCTGCCTCAGATGGCCCTCATGCTCCTGGAGGGTCTTACTAAACACTAAAATATCATCTAAGTATACTACAAATCTATCTAACCGTGGTCTAAACAGATCGTTCATGCAGTGCTGGAAGCGCGGACTTGGCCTTTCAGGACTGTAGCACCTACGACCTTGACCTTTCAGGACTGTAGCAGCTACGACCTTGACCTTTCAGAACTACAACAACTGTGACCCCTATGCAGATATGACCCCTACTTCGACAGGTCTAAGGTTCAAGACCCGACAACTACTCAGACCCACGACAGACAACTTTCAACTACTAACACATAGGTCACGGGTTCAAGGCACACAGGGTCGCCTTGATACTGTACACAGGGAAGGGAAGGGAAGGTAAGGTCTGGGGATCGAGCCCTGGGATCTGCATCTGTGACTGCAAAAGGTGAAAACCGTTTCACTTTGGAGGAGGATTGACTGTCAGGCTGGCCTTTCCTCTTGAGTTTCCTCTAAGTCCAAGTATAGGCTGCCAGATCAGCTTGAAGCTTGAACTTGTATTGACGAGTCTATCGTCTCCACCCGAATAGAGCGCCCTGTCATTTTACCTGTATCTGGACTGCAAGTTGGCCCAAAAATACATCTATAATGACCAGGAGTTCTATTCGGGTGACGACGGGTAGGGTGTTGTCTGTCTATGAGTCGGTAGTCTTCTCTTCCTCTGCAACACGATGAATCCCGTTTATCTCCTTCTCTACTACGTCCCAGTTGGACTGCGGTCATTTTGGGAATTGTCTGTCTGTGAGCTGGTCAAGATCTCTGCGCTGTGCCAGGTCGAGATCTCTGAGCTGTGCCGATCATTCCAACTCAGTACGAGACTCTTGATTGTGGCCACCTTGTCGTTGAACAGCCAGTGGAGCTGGAACTTCGCCTTGATTATCCTCTACTACACCCTTGATTGTATCGAGGTCTTTGTCTGTCGCAATTTGTACTTCATTTCAGCTTCTACTACCGGTAGCTCTTTTGCCCAGAACCAGACTTTCCCCCTGTGGTTTCTTGTCGCGTTGAGAGAGCGACGGTGTCAAGGTCTCTGTGTGTCGCCATCTTTTCCGAATGCCCACATCATCACTTTTCGGATCATAGCATCCCATAACCTTTTGGGCTTGTTGAAGTGAAGGCCCTGGGGGACGCTAGTCCAGAGAAGAAGCTGCAGCAGTAGGTGCTTGGAGAAAGATGAGGGGCTGAAAAGTGGGGGTCCCCGTTAACCAATAGTGATGAGGGGAGGAGGCCCCACCACAGGTCGCTTGATTTGGAACATAATTCTGTTGATTGTGCACACCTAACCAGACCGTGGAGAATGTCCTCTTGGGGCCTCTCGGGGCACACTACTCATCCGTAAGGGCATTTTGTAGCCTTCTTATTGAACTTTTTGAGTCTTTTTCAGAATTTCCTCGGTTTTTCTTTCTTCCTTTCCTCTGCCCATGCTACTTGGAGAGTTTGGATGTAATTGGGTTCCCGATTGCCATTCCATTCAGTCATTATCTGCTTTGCCACATTTATTTACTGACATCCTGCTATTCTATTTTGGGCTCCTACTGCCACAGGCGTGCAGTCAAGGCTTGGGGACTGGATATTTGCACAAAGCGGCCAGAGTGGCACAGTGATACTGTTACAGCAGTTGTCGTGCCGAGCCACATCAACAGCGCCGATGTAGTCAGGACAGCATGGAAGAAATACAACCTCAGCCTTGGAGTTGGTCTCAACAAAGTGGCAGGCAAAGTCTTCCGTATTGGGCACCTCGGAAGCATGAATGAAGTAAGTTATACCCCCCTTCCCAATCCCCTTCACCTCGCCACTAGCGCCTCTCTCTCTCTTTCTCTCTCTCTCTCTCTCTCTCTCTCTCTCTCTCTCTCTCTCTCTC